CCTCAAACTCCACCCCAATTTTATTGGGAAGACCATTTTTGAATACAGCCCAAACGATGATTGATGTTCGACAGGGCACTCTTACGATGGAGTTTGATGGACAAGTCGCCAAGTTCAATATTTTTGATACTATGAAATATCCTAATGATTGTGATGATTCCGTCTATATGCTTGATGTTATTGACCCTTTAGCACAAGAATATATGGAGACTTATGGTCGAAATGATGAGTTAGAAGTAGTGATTGCATCGAGCATTGGGTGCGACAGTCTGTTATCGCCCCCCTGATAGAAGACGTGGACGGTGGCGGTTTTTGCAATCGAGCCAAAGAATTGAGGGAGATCGACATGACATTGCATGAGAGAGGACATGTTCCTCCCAGGTATGAACTTAATTTTATTAAATTATCAGAATCTCACCAGAAAATTTTGCCATCTATTGTGCAGGCTCCCAAACTCGAATTAAAATCTTTGCCGACACATGATAAGAGGATCTTGAAGAAGCATGGTGATGCAAGGTTTGTGCCTCCTTTGAAGCCACCTCTGAATCCTCCATGGATAGATTGAAGAAAAGGGAAGTAATAAGTCGAGCCAACGACAATAAAAAAAGGCGCTAGTTGGGAGGCAACCCAATTTTTGTTTTCTTTTTTCTATTAGTATTAGTATTTTGATTAGTTCAATTTTATCTCTACGGTTGAATTCTTTTTTTTTTTTTTCAGTAGGGCAGCAACACGGACTTAGAGGTGCTGGACGAGCGTAGTTTTGAGCTAAACGATGAATAGAATGAAGAACAAGGCGAGACGGAGCAGGACTGTACTGCTACCGCCTCCCCCGATAACTGTTCGAGTGGATTTTCTACTGCTATCGCCTCCCCTGATAATATCCTAACATCATTTCGTATTGCTATCGGGGCCGCCGATAATAGCCTGTTCGAAGATTCGGTCGAGCACCAGACTTGCACCGACGAGTCAGGCAGTGACGAAGGACTCACATTAGTCGAGGAGCGACAGAGGATTCACAGCAGCAGCAAGCAAAGAGGACTACCCGCCTATGATCCGGTGACTTCGATTCCCCTATTTTGCTTTATATAGTAGGAATTTAGTTTGGGGAGGTTTTGTTGACGGGTGTAGTTGTGTTATATTTCTGTGCGTATATGTTTGCTTGGGTTTATTTTTGATTTGGTTAGTGCCATATCTAGTTGTTTTTTGGTGTCTAGCTGTTTTTGGTTGAGAATAAGGAAAAAAATTAATTGAGTTTTTGGTGTGTCGTATGTGGAATTTCGCAATGATGAATTAAGAGTTTGTTGGAATTATCTGCTAGTATGATGACTTGAGTTAACGATTTCTGGTTAAATTCTTGAGGTGTTGTCATTCGAGGGACAAAGACATGACGGTTGACATTTATGTGTTTTATTTGTAGTGAGTTGGTCTTGAACTGTTTATATTCTTGAAATGTGCTGGTGACTATTCTGCTTAATGTTGATTGTGTGAGGTAACTTGACGTGGAAAGTTGGGATTTGAATGTCTCGAAAAAAGAAAAAGAAAAAAAAAGAAGGGTGTGAATAATGAATGTAGAGGAAAAGAATAATAGGTGTTGAAAAAAAAAAGGAAAAAAAAAAAGAAAAATGATCGTGGACTGCAACAGCTGCCAAAAAAAAAAGATAAGAAAAAAAATATCGAGACGTTTGATATCTGGCTAGAAGCGAAGAAGAACTAAACCGGTTGGCAAAGAAAGGGATGTTGTTAGTTACATGATTGGTATACTCGGTAAAGAGATTGACGAGCTGCAGTAATTCACTGAATTGATATTTGATTGTCAGTGTTCTAAAACTGATTTCATTTCGAGTCTGGGGTTATTAATTTGAGAAGTTGTAACTATGCATTTATGTGAGATGTGTGAGGACCTGAGCGAAAATTCCACATATTTGATTGTTTTGTCCGTTCTTTGTGTTCTAGTTCTATATTGCTTGGGACAAGCAACGTTTTAGTTTGGGGAGATTTGATATGTGAGAAATCTTGTATTATTTTGTGATTACATTTACATATTTGAGCATTATATTTTAGTGTATTATTCAAGTTTTCTCACGTATTTTATTTTATGAACGGACGTACACCAATATTTGGATTTTGTTTTATTTTGCAGTTATTATGTCTATTATGATATGGCATTGATGAGGTGGCAAATGGGACATGCAAGAATGTGGATTATACTTAAAGCACACGTTGGGCTCTTAATTTAATTCATGGGACTTTGGATTAGTTACTTGTGCAAGTGAATTATTTTTTGTGGTCTCTCACTTGTTGACCGGATAGAGAATTTGTAGTGGCATGGACTCATTTTATTTAAGGATTGGGCAAAGGAATATGATTGGGTGTGGACTCTTAATTGGAGGGGACAGGAGTAAATAAAAAAAGGTCATGCTGGAGCTTGGGACGTGAACAGAGAGTGCTTGGGAGGAGATCAAACCAATTTTGGTTGTTGGAATTTAATTGGAGCCGTGGACTACTTTGATCAAAAAGGAGTTTGATTTTTTTTTTTTTTTTTGCTTTGTTTTATTTTGTTCTAAGACCATGAATATTTATTATTGTTTTTATCATTTAGCTATGTGTAGCTAAACACTATTTCGGTTCTAGGGACGTTGAACCCTCGATGACTATGTTTGATTGATGCTATTTATTTCGTTTTACTCGTCGTATAAAATTGTTTGTGCTATTCTAGTTTCATGTCATAATGTGTGATTTTTAATTTAGCTTGATCACCTAAGTTAGGAATTGCATGTTAATTGCTAGATTTGAGGCTTCGATCCGTAATCGTCGTCGCTCTTATTTCGTTTGTAGCAACTAACAGTCGTGCATTGTTAGGGATAGTACAACATAAGTTACATGAACCGAGCTTATGTGTTTGTGGCTTAGATCGGTCTATTTTCCTAGATTTTAATGCGACTAGTGGGTTAAATTAGGAGAGCTTATTCCGAGTTATTCGCTAGTTAGAATTAATTGAAGAGCTTATTTCGATTAAGTATAAATTAAGGGAGAATTCGGGTAGCAGAGCTTATTGCTATCTAGGACCGGTAGTTTTAGAAGACGAGTGAAATTTGATAAACGCATTAATTGGACTACTTATTCGAGGGTGTAGACCGACCTGGAACCGATTTCATTCTCATTCTCACTAGATTATTTATTATTTTCTATTTGATAATCATCTTTGCATTTTAATCATCCATCTCTAGTTTTAGTTTAATTTATCATTTTGCTAGTAGTTCGTTTAAATCAAATTCCCCCCATTTTTTTATCTTAATCTAATTAATATAATAAATTCACTGTTTATACCATACTCCCTGTGGGATCGACCCTTGCTCGCCGCTACTACTAGTTAGTAGATGTTTGTTAAGGAAAAATTATAAATTCAAATTTGTCGTGTAACGACGCGCGGTCAGTAAGCCGACAAAATTTCTTCAAATACAAAGATGGTTATTTCACCTCGTTTTCTTATATAATTCATTCATTAGTTTTTATAAATATTTCTTCTTCATATTTGAAGATTTTATAACTTATTTATTTATTTTTTACTTTTCATATATGATATATCAAATTAACTATTTTTTAACGATTTTGGATTTGACATCCATATTATATATATAAAATACAAAACAGTAATATATATCCTTATAAATAAAACTGAAACTTATTTATCAAACTAAATTAAATTATATCAAATAAAACTATAAATTATATTCTAAAGTAATAGAAATTGGTATGTATTCTTTTAAAAATGATATTCATTTCAAATCTAATTGGTATGTTGTCAATATAATAAAAAGAAATAATTATTTATCTAAATTTTAAAATTACGTATAAAGTTAAAAAAACTGTGAAGCATGACTGATACGACACTTGATGTATTAGGCATCTAATTAAGTAAAAAAATTAATCTAATTTGCTTAATATTAAATAACCATATTCTACTCTTATGCATATACATATCATCATATAATTTCTATTTATTTAAGATATATATTTTTGCACTTATGTAATAGTAAATAATATAGATAATTTTATATGATATAAGTAAAAAAAATTTACACGGGTTAACATTTTCATTTAATGTACGGGAATTTAATATTATAATTAAAAAAATATAATTTGACAATTTAATTAAAACCCAAAGTAATGTTTTATATAAAATTAAATTATTTTAGTTTTCAAAAAAAATAAAAATTAATATTTTTTGCAAAAACTTTCTAATTCAACACCCGTGTAATACACGGGTATTGTACTAGTACCTATTAATAGAGTGTTCTTCATTGAGGAGAAGACACACGAAAGGAAGAAAAAGAAGAAAATTAAAACAAGAATTCGTAGTCTTTTTCCCCATCTATATATATCTAAAAAGGTTGATGTTAAATTCTTTTTTAGAAACGTAAAATAATTGAGTCAAAACTTTGACTTACCCCAAATGGAAATCCAATTGGAATTTTAAATTTTGAATGCTCAAGTGTTTGACATATTTATTTTGGAAATATGTAATTATTTATGATCAATAGATTTGTATGGAGATTCAACAAGAAATTATGTTGGACTTAGCACTTCTCATGTTTGAAGAAACAAAATCCTTATATGTAGGGATTTATTCTTTCAAAATACAAATTACCTAAAATATCTACAAGTTTGGCTCCAGAAAATCCTGTATAGTCCTCCACTCACTCCATTAAATTTTGCTTATTAGGTCGAGAAAAAATCTCATATCATGAAAGAACCAGAAACCCAAATTCGTCCAAAATCCCCCTTCACCTTCGACGATCTTTCGCTTCGATTCGCTTGAGAGAAAATCCCACATCTTGAAAGAATCTGAAACCCCAATTCATCAATAATTCTCCTTCTGCTTCACCGAGATAGCCGGGGGCAATCGCAACGAGCTCTCCATCAACTTCGAAGTTGGGCTAGGGTCTTGCTCGCTGTTTATGTTTAGCTATAGGCCGAAAGAACTCTGCCGCCAGTTCAACATGTCCCTGAAGACCAGTGTCGAGATATTCGGTTCCGTGATGGCAGAATTTGGCTTCGTCGGAGATGAAAGCCCTGGATTTATGCTTCAATTCAAGTCCAGATCTTGAATTTTTTTTTTTTCGTTCGGAGGTCCGTTGAAACAACGGATCCAACGGCAGAGGGGATGAATAGGATGAGGGACACGACAATGGTGGGGGACGTCCGTTTGCTAATTTGGTGAGATTTATTTTATTTTTAGGAGATTTTTGTCTTTTGCTTTTTTTTTTTTTTGGTTTGTTGTTGGGGATTTTTTTAGGAAAATTGGGTTGTTGAGCTGTGTCAAGCGCCACCCTACTAGAAAATAAATAATCGGAGCTGGTAAAAAGTCTTTGTTTGCATGATGGGATTTTCTATCTGCCCGTTAGATACGCCGGTGAAAAGAAAAAGGTCCTCAACAAAAAACTTTTCTTCTACTCCATTATTCTGAAACTCCATTTTTTGTTGTGTTTGTGTCTAGACTATTCATACGAGTCAAAACAACCATTGAAGCATGTTGGAAGATCTCAATTGTAGAACAAATTGGTGTGCTTTGGGCCTTCTGAATCTGACAACGAAAGCCCTTTACATGTCGGTGCGATTTTGGTCTTTTGAATCAAACTCAAATTTGGTTAATTTGTCTTCTTATTCTTACGAAATAAGCACATATTATTTTGAATTGGTTCCTTTCTTTATTATCTTTTACGTAGCTTTTAATTTCTTCTTTCTCTTCGATTACTAGGTAGGTGAAAATTTTACTGCTTTAGTTATCAATTTTTTTGAAATTGTAAAAATTGTCCCTCCGTGGTTATTGTTTGATTATGAATTATATCATTTAGTTTCATATGATTTCTTTCCACCGAAATAGGAAACATGTATAGAAGCTTCACTGCAATTTCCCGATCGATTTTTCAATTTATATATTTTTTGTATAAACTATAACCATTTTAGAGTACTTTAATAATTTTTGCCTAGACATGGCGATCTTCATCGTCAATNAACACAATTGACATCCCAATTGGCTGGTGGACGATGATACATTTCGTGGAAATAATTCAGGTGACGAGTATAGAATCTTTTATTTTCATAGCATGTTATATACGATTAATTTCTCGACTCCAACACTTTTTTTTTTTCCTAATTCTTGGTTAGATGCCAGAGTTCGGTTAATCCATTGCCATATAGATTCACATCTACTTGGATACTGGTGATGGCACTGTTGGTTGATAATGTGAAAGGGAATCTGAGTCCATCGAGCCACGCCGACGATCAACCATGTTAATGTCTTTTATGATCAATTCGTGTTCTGTTTTTGGTGTCCTCCTGACAATTTATGATCAACCATGTTAATGTCTTTTATGATCAATTCGTGTTTTGTTTTTGGTGTCCTCCTGACAATTTATGTCCAATCAGTTTTTATTTTTAAATCTCACTCATAAGGAGGTGCCATGGTACTTGGGATCTTCAGTACATGTCTATAATTGAACTTGAATATATTCCTAACCAATAGATAATTAAAGTATGAGATTCTAGACCCAGCATATCTCAAATATATTCAAATTTGAATATGTAACTTTTTTTTTTAAACAGGTATGAATCCAATCTCCAACATATCTTTATATATATTTAAATCTAAAGAGCTTTTTTTTAATCAAATATGAATCTAAAAATATTCAAAACTTAGCGGACGAAAGATTGACTTAAATATTGTTTCCAACTCAATATTTGAGAAATTATTTTATATAAAAAAACATCTTTTATAATATCTATTTTTTATATGTTCATCATATCTAATAGATATTTAAACCTGAATATGTTCATATCTAATAGATAAACTTGAATATGGCATATTATGTTTTAATATAGATTTTATATTGTTTACAATAAACTAATATATGGCATATTATGTTCTTTATTATTTCATATTGTTTACCCGTGTATCTAATATACGGTGTTGATGGTCGTAACCACCAGCCTTTCCCACTTGGAGGGTCGGACCCCTAGTGGGTCATGAACACCCATGTAATATTTTACGTGCCATAAAATCAAAGTAAAAATGTTGTACATAAAGAAGTGTTCAATAATCAATGTTGCTATAAAACCAACTGGTTGGTTCCCTTATGGAACCAACACCCAATTAGACAGCTCCATGTGCATGGAGCTGTCTAATTGAGTGTTGGTTCCATAAGGGAACCAACCAGTTGGTTTTATAGCAACATTGGTTCAATAATATACAAACTTTATTTTTATGATATTTTTAATGTGATGAGACAATTTAAATGTAAACTTTTTTTTAAAAAAAAAAATTAAATAATAAATGTTCACGTGCATCGCACGGGCACTGTACTAGTTTTCTTATTTTAGTGTTTTGATCTAGGCACAACTCCCGTTCGCCGAATTTTATTCAATTTGCCATTTTATCCTGAAAAACAGATACTTATACGGGACAAATCAGTTTTAAGATCATAGTATTCTCACTTTTCACATATATCGGTATTTTATTTAGCCATCTTAATTTTTATTCCCAATAACATACAACATGGCTTGTAAGAATGGTACATTCTTGATATTGGTCACGCAAAAATAAACTCTTTGCGGCGCTTTAGAGTCTCGTCATCATCCCAATTTTCCACACTTAAGGTACAAATAACATGTATACAGATTGTTCCTTGGAAGCAACTTTTGGAAGAAAAGGTTACTCAGAATTATGTTGCACTCTTCCAATTCCTTGCTTCTTGGACGAGCTTTGACCTTTGTAGCGAATATATGATCTCTTTTTTCAGCCTTGCTTCCCAAATAAAATGATTTGAGAAACCATTTTCAATGATGTTATTAGTTTAAACGCGTCATTCATATTCATACCGTGATGAAACACTAGATAAAAAATCTAATGGTATGTATTACTTACAAAAGAAAAAAATTAGAACCAAAAAGCAAAACAAACAAACAAAAAACTGAATTTGTTAGTTTATGCCAAAGACAAATTAACTCCAACACACGCATTCCCATTTGTACAACCTTTGAGTCTACGCATTAATCAGACCTTTTATATAAAAATCAAATCAAAACAGACCTTATGTAATTAATTCCAAATCCTAATCAATAACCAGACATAACCATCATCATGAACTCAATTGCTGCCAATTTCTTACCATCCAACCAAAGGTTGCCCCTCAATTGCCCCAAAATAAGTGGTCTTATCACCATCAAAAGAGCAATTACAGTTAAAGCAAAGAAAAATGACAAGAATAACGACCACGGAAAATCGGTCGACGAGAACATGATCGTCCTCAAGATGAGAATCAAGAAAATGAAGGCTTTGGAGAGTATTAAAAACGAGGCCTCCAAGCCGTCTTCTGATTGGCTGGAATGGGAAAATAAGTTTTTTAGGCGCTATCATGAAAATATTTGTGACTCCATGGAGTTTTTGCAGTCGTATTTAATGAACACGAGGCCGAGTGTGGCTATGGGGATGCTGATTCTGGTGGCAATGAGCTTTTCGTCTTCGGTTGTTATGGTTAATGCGTTGAAGATGGCTAAAGAGTTGTTGGCGGGTTGTCATGTGTGCATAGATATTAATTTTTGATTCATTTAAAGGATGCTTCTTTTGTTATTTGCCAAAATTATATTTTTAGATTATGATCTTGCACTTTATTTATTTAATTCTTGTTAGTATAGTGGTTTTATAATATATATATAGGATGTGGTTCAAATGAGAACCACGTCTTAGCGTGAGAACTGTGACAATCGCTATTTTTAATTGCATGTAGTGTTATGACTGATTGTGTTTTAGTGCTATGTTTAACATGGATGTATTTTATTAAAAATAGAAGCACAATTAAAATTAACATTTGTTAAAATGATAGCACCACGTGATAATAAAAATAGCATGTTCTCACAGTTCTCACACCCGTACTAGTTTTTATTTAAACAAGCCCTTATATATTATTGTGAATCCAATGGCTAGCTTCCTTGAAAGACTCGCAATTAATGACTTATATTAATCACTTTGAATATAAATCAATTATATAATAAAAAATAATAATTATTATTATATTAAATTAAATATATAACAAATAAATTTATTTAATGACGTTGACCGGTCGACCGTGGTTGTTGACCATCGTTGACCAGCCGGAGTCGGAATCCCCGCGTCGCCGGAGCTGCTGCAACTTAAACTTCTGGCCGGGAGACGCAGGAATCCTCACTCGAGGTCGTCGGAGCTGCTGCTGCTGCATCTCCTTCCGGCAACACCGAAAATCGCACCCGAGGCCGGTGAGGCCTCCTTGTTCATCCAGTCACAGAAATCGACCAATTTCCTCGAGCAGACGCAACCTGTCATGCTCTGCTGCCTTCCCCTAAGAAGACATCCATGTGTCGCCGCTGCTAGAAGACTCGTCGATGTCTCCGGTTGAAGCGCCGCGCCGCTACCATCCAGTTTCAATAATCCCCACAGCCACTATTGTTGTTTCCTCCACCGGCAGCCGTCAAATTCGGGATGGAGGAGGAATTTTGGAGCTCCGATTGGTGGTCGACGCCTGCGACGATGAGGGAGGGAGGCGTCCAGATCGTATTTTTAGAATCACATTTTTTATTTGGGGGATGGGATTGATGTTGAGAATTAGACAAATCTTAGAGCATCTCTAATGTGACTTTTGACATTATAAAAAGTCATCCATATCATCAACTTTTAAAAGTGTGTTACTATTTTTTTCTCCAATGCATCTTGTCATGAACTCTTTCATGATGAGGTGGATGTCATTTAATGTTGATAATGTTGAGCACACTTTCTAATATCTAACACAATGTTAAACATGATGACTCATCAATTTACTTTATATTGGTTTTAATTTTACATTTTTCTTGTATGAATAAATTATTTAATTGATCCACCTATACAAATAATTTCTTATCAAATTTATGCATTGGAGATACTAGTTTCATTCAAATTTCTAGTCTTTTAACATAATTCCAATGTGGATTAACATTACAATCACTAATTGACATTTGTTAAAAATAATGGTCTTTCAAAGTCATAGCATTGGAGATGCTCTTAGAGATTTAATTGCAAATTTAATAACTTATGAGTTACTACAATTTAATCCTTAAGGTCAATTTGTAATTAATTTAAAATATGATTAACTTCAATTTAGCCCCTACAATTTTTATTATTTAATTAGTGCATATTTAGTTTCTTACTTGTGCATATTTAGGTAATACATAATGCATACTTAGTTTCAAGATAATGCATATTTAGTTGATAATATAACTTTGATATAATTTTTATTTTTATTTTTTTGGTTTCCCACAAGTCACTAGTGTACTCACAATATTTATTCAATAGTTTAAAAGTATGTGTATACAACTATTTGAAGAGCTAGTTTGTTGAGTAATAATTTGAATTATTAACATAAAATAACATAAATAATAATTAAATATTATTGTCACAGTAGTTAGAAAATATAAGTTAAAATAATATAGAAAGTGTGTAAACAATGTTTTTTTTTCTCTCTGATCGAAAATTGTATTACCATCAAACGAACAAAATACTAACGCACAAACAAAGCTCCAAATTAGGAGATTACAACACTCCAAACGAAGAACAAACACTCACACAAAAGGAAACTAACAACAAACTACAAAAAACGAAAAATAAAAACTAAATCACTAAATAACTATAAAATATAATAAAGTCTTCCCCTGCTTTTCGCGAGCCCACGACATGTCACAACCTAAAACACCAACCAATCCCTAAAATTAAAAACACAATGAGAACTTTCAATCTAACACAATTATTTCAAAAACATTAAAATGAGAAACAAACAAATTATTTCTTTGAGCCATTATGTTTGTTCTCTAGTTAAAAAAAACTAGTGCGCAGTCCGTGCGATGCACGAGTAAACAATATTAAATAATAATTATAAACTAAAAATAAGGGTAAAAAATACATTAACTAATAATTATAAATTAAATATGAGAGTAAACAATATTAATTAATAATTATAAATTCAGATGTGGAGTTAATATGAGACATAATTTATCAGTTGTAAACAATATAAATTATCTTGTATAAAATAACCTGAAAAATGTATGTTTAAAATATTAAAAACACCTAAAATACTATATAATGTATGTAATGTATCTAAAATTTTATATATCATTATTGAAAGATGTGAAATCACCTAAAAAAATTTTAATCTATTTTGTAAAGAAAATATGTCTAAAACTATTTAAAAAAATCTTGCATACAATATATTATTCAATTTCGAAAAGATGATGATAAGTATAAGTCTGAATTTTAGAATCCACGTGAGTATTAATTTTGAGATCCGTGTACTATTCAAATTACTAATTATGTTCATTTCCTATGAACTTCATATTGATTTACTGATTTTATTTTATTTTCATACAAAGTTGATCGTCTCATTTTGTTATACCATATTTTCGTGGAAATTTAATAAAGTCAATTGCATTTATAAAATGATTTGGATATCAACATACAATTTATAATGGAGTTTTCAAAATCGTGAACTATTAATAAATAATATATTATCATTAAATATATATTTTTTTGAAATGCACAACTATTGAGACTGAGAATTTGAAATTATTTTACCTTTCGAAATCGAGTTAAGAAAAAACAATAGTTTGGTAAATAAATAATTGATAAACATTACAAAGTTTATTATCACACATTCCAAATAAGTTTATTATCACAAATATAAAGACCGATATTCTAAACTTTTGTTACCTTTTAAATTGAGATTTTATAAATATAGAGACTGAGATTTTAATGTTGTTAGTTATTTTTAAGAAAAAAATTAAAAATAAAAACATGCACACTTAATAGATCTTAGCCAAAATTTTTAAACAATAAAATGAATTAAAGCACAAAATTTAAGGAAGTATATAATGATGTATGATTTTTCAAAAATAAAAATAAAAAAATAATAAACTTACTATTTATGGGTTGCATTAAATTCTGCCCTATTTTTTTGTTATGGTTATTTTTATTATATATTTATAGATTACATATTTGTAATATGAAATTCAAATCACGCTAAGTAATTATTTATCAAAATCGTGAAATTTTAAAAAGTTTAAACCATTTCAATTTAGAAAAATAAATTAACAAATGAAGTAATATCAAAAGATATTTTGTATTATTAATATTTTAGACCATATTTATCTGTTGGGTTGGGAGGGGATAAAGATGGTCTTATTATCAAAAAAATGTGTCATAAAATTTACCATAGATATACACAGAACAGAACCCCAATGCCCCAAGAAAAATATAAATCTTCCTTTCCGCTATTTTATTAAATACATTGAACATAACAAGCTTCGTACAAACTGAACTATTCACAAACTCCTCGTGTACCGCGAGACCAAAATGTGTGTGTATGAGAATACCCACTCATAGTATTTCCACTCTTTGTGAGTTATGAGCCTGAAGAAAAAAGAAAATAACCAAAAACAAAGATTCAGGAAATCAGGATGATTATTAGTACGCAACCAAAAAATAAAAAAAATAAAAAAAAAATAAAAATGCACAGCAAAAAAATCATGAAAAGAAAGACCACATGTATGCCATTTTCCAAGAACCCACAAACTAAGAAGAAGCCTTTTCTTTTCTTCTCTTCTCTTATTACTTTAACTCAATTTATGTTGCTAAGGTTGGAAAGAGTTGTTAATGATTAAAGGAGTTGTTTAAATAATATTACACTTTTTCTTTTGAAAAAGAGTTGGAGGACCTCACAAGTCACAAGACAACAAAACACTAGTATACTACAAAACACTTCGAGTGGCCTACATGCTCACAATAATTTCACAAGACAAGACAACAAATCAAAAAGCCAATTCGAACAGAAACTACTACACTCGGACCCCTTCATCAGAGATAGTTTACAAAATCAAGAATGCAAAATTGAGTAACAACACACATCACAGGTCTCAGCAACAATTATTACCATAAACAACATAACCAGACACAGCAAGCTCACTGCCATAATCATGAAACACAAAAGATTCACAAATTTGGAAAACCACACCTCAAACATAAGAAAACACATCCTAATCAAGAAACATAAAAAATCACAATACCCGAGAAAAAAGCTCGAACGAAACACATACCTCACACGTACGAGAGCAACATCCTGAAGTAAACAATGACACAAATCGCCAGCGACAAAACCGCAAACACGTGCTGCCAAAACAGCAAAGCCGAGGCCTCCTTCACCGCATACCCTCTCAAACTCGCAACAGCGCCCAGCAAAATCGCACTCGGAGTCGTGTACTGCAACAGAAGCACAAACCTATACATCTGATCCCCATTCACCAAAAACCCCAACACATCCGCCAAACACACGACCCCAATCCCAATAATCGGCAGCACCACAAGCCTCGCCACCATAATCCCAACAGTCGTCCTTCCCCCGAGCCTCGACTCGTCGGGCCCTTCCGCAAGCATCCCACCAAGAATAAGCATCACAGACGGCACCATAGCCGCAGCCAATATTTCCAGACTATCACTCACGAACGCCAGCATGGCATCTTCACCATACACCACCGACTTAATCGGTGGCACCATCCCAACAAAGAAAGCCAACAGAGTTGCCACCATCGGCGGCTGGAGAATGTGAAGGATTGGAGTCTTTTCAGCCACGATTCTTATTCGCCTCACCACTCGCGGCTCAGCCAAACACCTGACAGATTTCGGGCTTTTCGGGCCCGAATCACTTAATTCTCCACCTTCCTCTAAAGAATCGGGCTCCGGGATTGAAGATTGCGAGAAGCTCCCGAAAACCCGAGCGATTAACGGGGTTTTACAGTGTTCGGTCTCTCGATCTTCCATTCCAGGCCACTCGGCTTCGACGAGAAGAGGCCTGCTGAGGTCAGCAGCGGGCCCAACGTGCTCGTGAATCTCGTTGTCCTCGACGAGCTCATAGTATTCCATTGGGGGCTCCATCATGTGGTAGACGAGCGTGTAGACGAGAAGGACAGCTACCCATTGGGCAAACGACACGTAAGCGGTGCCGAGAACGTTACAAGAGGGCCCGAAAGGGTTATCCGGGCTGTGGCAGACGGAGCCCACTATGGCGAGGGGGAGATTGCCAGTGTTGCCGAAGGCAGTCATGATGACGGTGAAGCGAAAGTATTCGGGCGGAGGGCGGCAGATTTTGGCGACTAGAAGGCCCAAAAGGCAGCCGATGGCTGTGCTGAGGATGACGTTTACGGGAATGAACCACCATTTGAAGAAATTTTCGAGGGTTATGGTCTCGCCGAGGTGGATGAAGATGGTGCAGGGGAGGAAAAGGGCGAATACGAGCTTGCTGAGGAGTTTGAAGGTGGCTTTGGGGACTAGTTGGGTTTTGGGGTGGCTGAGGATTAAGCCGATAACTGTGAGGCAGATGAGTTTCAAGAGTGGGAGGATGGAGAGGATGAGGTCATCCTTTGTGGAACGCATTCGGGTATGATTTTTGGTAGAGAGCAGATCCATTTTTTCGGCCGGAGAAAAAAATTACTTGAAGAAATTAATCAATCGCTCCAGTAAGAGTTTGACGGATTCCTGTTAAACACAAAACGATAAGAAATTGCTAGCCCTAATTGAGAGATGGGTTTTCTTAACTCGTACAAACCACAAGCATATCAATTGGGGCAGAAACTGGGGAAAAAACGGCAGTCTCAAGGCTAATCGAAATCCGAATCAACTAAGAAATTCATTAAAGCTAACGAATGACAATCGTTAAGAGAGAAAAAACTTACATCATAAATGAAAATGACGGCGCACTCGGTTAGAGAAGATGGCCTGTTCTGTTTCGAGCTGAATTTGCTCACGTAGATACGATAAAAGGGAAAAATCTCCGACAATGGAAGGCAAAACCAGAGAGATTGAGGTTTCAGAGATGGACAGAAACCAGAAATCGGGTTGGAGGTGGGAGAAGATAAAGGCCCTCATCAACCCTGAGGTCCATGGATTAAACAAGGCACTCTTAGGCGGCCATAAACAAAGGCATTTGGTGCATGATTGTTCATATAAAAAGTTTAAAAACCAATCAAATTCAATATTAAATCAAATTTAATTTAATCTCGCTGAATTCAATATTATGAATATAATTATATAATCTTAATGAATTATATCTTGTACTATTCATTTAATTTTTTTCACCACTTATAATGATCTCTCTTCTACTCTTACATCAAATCAACTTTAATTATTTTATTTTAACTAATACAATATCTGTACGATACAAGGGACATTTATTACCTACTTTATTTTTAAAATATATTTTTGTATTTCAATTGTCTCATGACATTAAAAATATTATGAAAATAAAATTTATATATTATTGAATATTTTTATATGTACAACATTCTTAATTTGATTCTTTGAAACGTAAAATACTACGTGTGTGTTCGAATTTTATCTAAAATTATGGATTATTAGTTATTAATTAAAAAAATTATATTATTTTAAAAAAAATTAAAAAATCTTATTTATTAAACAAAATTCTAGTAGAAAGAAAGTAAAATATTTTTAGGGTTTTTCACGCTATTTTTTTAACTCAAATTCAAAATTTTGATTAAGTGAAATTGAAAAGAATCATTAGTTTTCCTAAAAATGAAACCGAATTTTTCTACGAATACAACATTTTTTTACCAAACAAATTGATCCGAATTTTTGAGTAAAACAAAGTGAAAAAAATCATCATTTTTTTTAAAATGCAACTGAATTTTCCTAACATTGCAGCAATTTTTTTTACCAAACAAATTAAATTTAAATTAATTCTAATAAAAGATCGGAATATTTTGTTAAGATTTACGCAACTGTTTCTATCCTAAAAAAATTGATACAAACTTAACAAAAAATTTGATATGACTTACCAAAATCTCCGGAAAACATGGTTAATTAAAAACATAAGAATCTAAAAAAAAATCAGTGCATTCATATTTTGAATATATGCACGCGGTTTGATTTGAATTTCTTTCCTAAATAATTGTACAAGGTTCGATTTTAAATCAAAGATGAACCGATTTTGTTATCGAAAAGTGGATACATTTTTTAATGTATATTTCGTCCAAATTTAAATTTTGTTTTAAAATAAAAATTGCACGTTTTATTCATTTTTCGCACATTTTTTTAAAGAAAAAAATTATTGAAAAAGATTGGAAGAATTTGTTAAGAATTATACAACTATTCATTTCCTAATTCGTATCCAATTTGCACGAATCGTAAATTAATTTTTATTTGGATATATTTTCATAAATAATTGACACATTTTTTACATAAGAATTTCCAAATTTGTAATAAAAAAAAGGATTCGGATTTTGGTAAAAAAAATAAAAAATAATACGAAAAAAATGGATTCAGATTTTAGCATAAGAATCTCTAAATTTGTTACAAAAAATGGAATTTAGATTCTGTTACTAAGAATCTTACATGTGTTTTTTCAAAATTTCTACTAATAGTAAGTCAACTCATTTATTTATTTTTTTGGTCAAAGTTACTAAAAATGATTTTACCAACAACCTTTTTATATTAGTATAGATTATAAATATTAACTCAAAATTCAACTATCATATAATTCTTTTTAAACTCAAAAGAATATTTTCGAAATATTCTCTTTCACATTAACTTTGCAACTTTTCAATATTACTTACATATTTAACAACTTTACAAATAGACCCTTACTTATTATCATAGTCGACTGAAATAATAATTAATTAATTATAAATTAATAATATTTATTAATAAAAAATATTAAATACATACATGTCCAGTATGTAAAAAACTACATTATTTTTTATTTAAATTTTGAAAAAATACTTTTAAAATATTTTCAATATTTTTTTCTTAAAATGTTCACAAATTAACTCGAACTTTTGTAGGAATATCTTATGGTTAATTTTATTATGGAAGATGCACCTTATAAAAATATCTAATTCTATTGGTGCATATTTCTTATTTTTTTAATGTATTTTTTGGACACCCTCTATAAATATCTAATTTTATTTATGTATATTTCTTATTTAAACGTTATTTTCCTGTTCTTTTAGTCTGTATATTTGACAAACTCAAAGATCAAAGTTTATGAAATTATCTATCTCAAGATGAATATATTTTATTCTAACACTGCAATCATCACATCAGGCGTGGCTTTTTTGCCTTCGTCCGACTAATGATTCATAGGTCACGTCACATTCATAAATAATACAAAGATTAATTATAGAAAGATTAATTATTGTTGCAAGGGTTAAAGATATGACTTATGAGTAATTAATTGTGGAAGCATGTAATACTATCTCCAATCAAACATTCCCTTAAAGATTAATTATTGTTGCAAGGGTTAAAGATATGACTTATGAGTAATTAATTGTGGAAGCATGTAATACTATCTCCAATCAAACATTCCCTTAAACTGAGTCTCGAAATGAAATTGAAATTAAAAAATGCTCTGCCGAAAAAACGAAAACCCTCGCTCCGATTTTCTCCCGCTCTGCCTTCCATCGTGGCCATAGAGCTTCGCCGGTGGTAGCTGGCCCTTGGCCGCCTGGTTCCTGCCCCTCTTTTTCCGCTCTGCCATCCGTATTCCATGGAGCTGCGCCTATCCGCGAATTCAGGGTCTCTGTCGTTTCCGGCGCCGATCCACGAATTCAAGGTGGTGGCTTCTTTATCGGGCGGTGGTGGAGTCGTGGTGCGGTTCTGGGGGCGGGACGCGACTCGATTGCTCAGCAATTGGGGCGTTGCTGCTGTTCGAATTCATCTCCCCTTTGTACTCGGTTTTCGGGTTGACGGGGTCGTCGTGTCCATTCTTATTCCAGTGGTGTTGCGGGGTGGTGCTTCGGCGGTGAGGTGGGTTTGGGCAGCTTTCAGGCGTTCTGGGGTTGGGGCTAGGGCCGTGGCCCTCGTTTGTCTGTTTCGGGGGCAATTGGGTGCTATGGTCCTGGTGCGGGTCGGCTTGGTGTTGTTCCGGGGCTATGGATTCGAAATCGTTAGGCAACCGAGTGGTTTGGGCAATTTCGGGATCGGTGTCTCTGACTACGGGATTCACAGTCGCCTTGTTTCTGTTGGTTCAGTTCGGTGCTGCTACTTTGAAAGGGCTCGTTTTGTTTTGTTGCTTTTGTTTTGTTTGGTAGCTTATTGTTTTTGTCTGTTATTAATTAAGCTGTGTTGTTTAGGCTGTGTTGTTGTGTTTTTGGTCTGGACCGTTGGCCTTTGTTTGCCCGAATGTAATTTTATTATCATGTTGGGATCATACACTCGAGTATTACCCCGTTTGGGTCGTTGTGTGTTGTTTTTTAGTTGTTATCGTATTTTACCTGTTGGGGTCGGTTATCTAGGCGAGCTTTTGCCCAGTCCTCTCACTTTTTCAGTTGTTACCTGCTTATATTCAACTATTGGCTGTTTGTATTCAGCTAGTGGTTGACCTTTTGCATGCGCGTTATATAAAATTTCTGTTTCGGTAAAAAAAAAAAAAAAGTCTCGAGATGACATTATTCCTGTCACTATAACCTAGACGATTCTTGACAATGATAATATGACAGCGTGTCATGAACACCTCTCTGGCTCTTTGGCACTTAGCGGAAGAGTTTTTAAAAATAAAATATGGAATAACTATTATATTAATTTTAACATATTCATTTTTTAAATATTTTAATTTATATATTCCATGCAAAAAAATTAATAAATAATTTTTTTTTTCATATTTTACATTAAATTTTAAAAATATATAAAAAAATTTATGGGCATTTAGGCAGTAACCTGGGCTGCCTAAGTTTCCATCAAAACGTCTAACTTGTACGAATATTTTACGTTCTTCTATTATTGTGGACTATGTAGTTAGTTGAACTTATTTGAATTAATAGTTAAACTTAATTAAAATTAATATATATATATATATAATAAATTATTAAATATTCTAACATTAAAGAGCCTAATTTATGATGTTTGACTTGGGCAAATAATTTAGATTAGAACATGAGGAATCTTAGTAGGATTAAAATTGTATTCTCCCTCTATAAATTATATTACATGCCCCTATCTCTTAACACCAAGATTTTGTGAAAAGACGAGGATACAGGAGGGAGAAACACACATCAAGAAAATAGAGAAAAACTAATAATGTTGGATTCTTGTAAGTTTTATGTACAATTTAACTAATGAAAAAATTCATATTCTATAAATTGATAGAGTTACATGCTTATATATGGTTTATTCAAGTCTGTCCAATAGTTACGAATATACCTATTTAATTTCCTACATGTTGCATCAAAGCATATGGTTATGCAATCATTATATTGCAGCTAAGTTTTTTGCGAGTTGATTTCATGCAGCTCAAGTCAATTTAGAAGAACTTATTTGCGAATTAATTTTATGCGACTTAATTCTGAACAATTTTTTTTTTTTTTNTGCGAATTGGTTTTGTGCGACTCAATTGTAAATAATTTAGATTTGTTGATAAACATGTTGTTATTAAACTAGTTAAGTGAATATACAATATATGATTGGGTTAGAAGCGTTAAGAGCTAGCTAAAGGGGTGAGAGAAATTGGGACAAGTGACGGATCTAGAAATTTTATTCAGTATGTCTAATTTTAAATGTTAAATAATGAGCTTGTAATTTAAGTCGAAATGACCATTTAATATAAAAATATGTTTATATAAATATAAATATTGATATGTGTATCTTTAAGTTTTTAAAAACTTAGAATCGGTATCACCCTCAAAATTAAAAAAAATAAAATTGAGATTCATGTATTTATAATTTAAGTCCAACATCTATAATTTATGAAAAATAAGTTTTACGGTTGAAAATCTGATTTAAATTGAACATTTACAGCACATTGCATAACATTTTTGTTGATGTGAGCTTATCAAATGACAATTTTTTTTTAAAAAAAAAAATCTAAAAATATATGATTACACAAAAAATAAAGTTAAAAATCTACATCAAAAAACCTAACAATCTAACCAGTTACTCGGTTTCATAAATCACTATATTGACTTACAATTAAGAGACTGAAAGATTATAACTATTTTCAAAAAGTTAT